GAATTTAGAGCCAAGTGGACCTTTATCAGAATTGGTGGCTTCATTCCTAGGCATGATGCATTGCAGTAATCAAATTGTGAATGTGTGACCTGCTGTGGCCAAATCAAAATCTTGTAGTATGAAGCACAGACTTCTGACCAGTTGTGTCTTAGAGTTTTTAGCAGCTGTGACTATTTGTCTAATTTGACTATTAGTATGTAAAAGTAGCAAGGAGTCCAAAAAGACCCATGATGACTGAATGGCAAATTACTATGATGATGGAGGGTAATATAGATATGGGGAATTCTTTGCAATTCTTCTTTTTCCTCCATCATGCAACCTCCATCTTGCAGCAGTTTAGTTTTAGTCAACTATTGATAGGATTGGCAGAATTAATTTTTTCGTATAGTTTTGGTGAATATCTGTTTAAGCATTTTTCTATTTTTATTTATTTTAATTTTTCAGTTGTGCAATATTATGGGTTTTAAGCATTGGTTTCAATTTTTCTGTTTAAATTTTCACAGATGTGGGATGTTGTGGGGGAGGTCAGACAATTTACTGACAGTAAATGCAGAGTTTCAAAAAGTTAAAGCACAAATTGTCAACATCATGTGAAAATATACAAAGTAAATATCCTTCAGTCTGTTGTCAAGACTCATTTTTCTTCCATTTGCATAGCTCTAAATTTTAATTATCAATGGAAATATTTTTTTTGTTGGTTTGTGTGTGGTAAACTTGACATTTACTGATATTTACAGATAAAAATCTAATCCTTCTAAGCCTCATCTGAGTGCTGATGGCTCTTTAGAATCAAGATAGTAGGAATTAATGCTGTTAGCATTTGATGCTTGCAAAATGTAGAGCTGGGTGTTGTCTATGTACTGCTGGCATTTCTGCGTATGCTCTTTCAAAATCTTCCCCTTCAGCTTCATGTAGGTGTTGAATAGAGTAGAAGGAGAGGATTGAGCCTTGTAGGACTCCACAAGTGAAGGTTCTAGATGTGGAAGAATAGCAGTCCTCAACCCTGTGGATTCATTCTGAAAGGAAGGAATGGAGCCATCTGACTGTTCTGTTCATCCCTGCTTTGTCTCTGAGACACAACAGGAGTATTGATGGCCAACATGATCAAATGCCATAGAGAGATCCAGCCGTATAAGTAATAGCTTGATATTTGTATCACAGTAGTGCCCAAAGGGTCCAATAAGGATCAGGCCCTCACTGTGTTTAAAAAATATGGTCCCCCTCCCCCAAGGAGCAGTCCTACGCAGAGACTCCCTTTTCAAGATAGACTAACAGAAGCAAAATGTGAATGGTATTTATCTTGTTATTCATATTCATATTCCCCTATCTAGATGCTAACATGTTGCATAATTGCTAATCCAATGTGCCTTTCTTCCATCCTGCCCATCCCACAAAAATAAAATTGGGGCTCTGTGTATGAGTGAAGCAGCCAACCACATGATGCTTGTAGGGTTACCTAGGGATGTGGTGGAATATCCTTCCTTAGAGGTTTTTAAGGTCAGGCTTGACAAAGCCCTGGCTGGGATGAATTAGTTGGGGATTGGTCCTGCTTTGAGAAGGAGTTGGACTAGATGACCTCCTGAGGTCCCTTCCAACCCTGATATTCTATGATTCTATTACAAAGGATGGTCTTTTCCTCATATTTAATATGAAACTTCATACTTGCAATGGGTCCTCAGCAGGATAAGTGCATTTGATAAGTTTGATTAAACTTGATTTAGAATAAGTTTTAAGTGCTGAGAAACTGTGCACAAGCAGCACGTGAATTACCACACTTTTTAAGCAATGCACTGAAGTGAATTAATAATTACGTCTCTATGGGTTACTGCAGCTTTCCTAGTAGTCCTTTGTGTTCTGGCAGTAAGTCTGAAGAGAAAAGCTTTACGTTCTATCTTGCTTTATTGTTCAATTATACTTACAAAAATGGTATTGGTATTTACTCTATGGAAAATAAATGTAATTTGTGGGGGAGAAAGCTTGTTTATGCTAATTTGATAGCCTGCTATGTTATATAAGTTGATTAGGACATTTTTATTGTAAATTGTGATTTATAATCCATTCCCCGGTAAACTTACACAATAGGACTGAAATATTGTTTAATTTCATATATTTCTTTCGTAGCTGATTGAATGTGCAATAAAAGGGACACAGAAATGGTTTACTACTAACCAGTTAGTCCATTAATACGAATTAAAATGAATCACTGTTAAGATCTACCTCCCCATTCAATTCACACCTACTCTTCAAACTTCCCTTGCCACTTCCATTAGTGCCCATTCTAAAGTTCTTTTTAAACAGTATTTCCCAAGAATGTAAAACTTGACCATTTAAATAGCTGGATCTTTTCTGGCATGGTTATTTTGTTTCATTTTAATACCTAAACTGTTCTTTATAAATTGATTTATGTTTCTGGAATTTAAAGTGTTGTGGAAACACTAATATTTTATCAAGAGAATACACTTTTTTTCAAGGATGAAATTTCTTTTGTATTATTATTCAGTACTTTACCAACCGAAAGCTCTATAAACCGGCATTTCTGATCTTCAACTGGACTATAAACCAGACTTTTAATGCTGTGGGGCCGGTAGGCTCCCTACCTGGCTCCGTGTGGCTCCCTGGAAGCGGCAACATGTCCCTGCTGCTCCTAGGCAGAGGCAGGGCTAGGCGGCTTTGTGTAATTTGCGTGCTGCCCCACCCTGAGCACTGGCTCCACAGCTCCCATTGTTGTGTTTGAAAAGCTTGTTACCAAGTGAGACAATACCTATTGCTTTCTAGGTGAAAATCCTTTAAATGCTTCAGTGTGTGAATCCTACTAAGCCAAAAAAGATTAGTTTTGTTAATATATCAGTACATGGAGCAGATGTTATCAACTTGGTTCCACTGAAAGAATTGTCTTGGACTATCTTTCCAATTAGTTTTTAATTAATTACAATATATTCACCCTGTTCTCTGGTCTTCTCATTTTGGGGATTATATAGGGCTGGAAGGATCCTTGAGAGGTCATGCAGTCCCTCCCCCTGCGCTCAGGTAGGACCAAGTATACCAAGACCATCTCTGGCAGGTGTTTGTCTAACACAGTGGTCTCCAAACTTTTTTGATTGTGCACCCCATCAGTAAAAAATTTTTGAGCAACTGACAAAGTAAAAAACAAAAACAAAAACGCTCCTCTTGCTGTGCACCCCCAAGGATCCTCTTGTGCACGCACCCCACTTTGGAGACCACTGGTCTAACCTATTCTTGAAAACCTCCAATGACTTGGATTCCACAACCTCCCTTGGAAGCTTATTCCAGTGCTTAACTACCATTATAGTTAGAAAGTTTTTCCTAAACTACATCTCCCTTGCTGCAGGTTCTCTTGTCCCATCTTCAGTGCACATAGAGAACTATTGATCACTGTCCTCTTTGGAGATATACCTATTTCATAGAACTGGAAGGGACCCCGAAAGGTCATTGAGTCCAGCCCCCTGCCTTCACTAGCAGGACCAAGTACTGATTTTGCCCCAGATCCCTAAGTGGCCCCCTCAAGGATTGAACTTACAACCTGGGGTTTAGTAGGCCAATGCTCAAACCACTGAGCTATCCCTCCCCCTTTATAACCAACCTTAACATATTTAAAGACTATCAGTCTTTTTTCCTCACTAAACATATCCAATTTTTTAAAACTCACTAGGTCATGATAACATCTCTTTGATAAAGCTTCATTTCACAAACACTTCTAAAGTGCCATTTTGGCAATAGCTGTCTTTAGGTGCTAACTATTGTAAAATATTTAGTTAAAATGAACTAAAAATAAGAAAGAGGCTTACTGATTCAATCATCCCTGGTATGTTTTTTTCCCCTCTTCATTTTTGATACTTTAAGAAAATCCTCTTAAAGCTTGTGGAATGGGACAGTAACTTCTTATTCACTGCAGAGAAGCTGAAATCCATTGTACAATTCTGCAAAGCCACGTGATTTGGGCTGCAGTGGGGTTGCTGTTAAGTTGCAAGTATCAACAACTATGAAAAGGCATGCTTACACAGTCATTTTATAAAGGTTTTATGTAAGAATATGACTGGATTTTTCCACTAACTTTTAGGTATAGACTGTTCCGTAGTCTGAAACCCGATGTCATGTGGTGATGTGTGCTTGTTTGTTGCTACTTTATCAATGATTTTTGTAGGAGTGGGCAGATTAAAACACCTCATTCAGAGAAGTGAACGTGCTGAACTACCCAGAGGGAAAAAAATGCTGAGAGGTCTTAAGGATTGAGTTGTTGTGGCTTTTTTTGGGGGGGGGGATTGGATGGATGACTGTATTTTTCAAGGTGAGTGGTACATTTGCTTCCCTGAAGGAGGTGTTGGTAACTTCCATTAGCCGTGAATAGTTTGATATTTATTAGCCAAGAAGGACGTTCTAAGACTCCTTCAGCTTCAGTGAGTGTGTTGAGGCCATATACCATCAAATAGTGGCATGGTGGCTAATGTGGTCAACTCTGGTTCAGAGTTTTCTGCCTTTTAGTGGCTGGTGATTTGACCCCGTGGCTGGATTATGAAGTCCAAGTTGCCAGGCGGAATAACCCTGCTGGCTGTGGTTTTGCAACTGTGATGGAGGTAGAGTAGAAATTTTTTTTTTCTTTCCTTACTATGGTGGTGTACTTCTGTCAGAAACCTTTATGCTCTTGATGAATGGATTTGGAGTGAGTTTTTCACAATTGATGTTCTCACCTGGTGCCTATGTGCTTCATCTGCTGAAGTTTCATGGTGATTTCCTCAGCATGTGTGGGGGAGGGACAGTGTAGAGTGAAGGCATCAATGGTAGTGGTGATCACATAAACATAATTCCTCCCATCCTCAGTCTCCTTAAACCAGTCTGCATGTAAAAAACTTTAAAATCCTTAAGCTTTCAGCACAAATTTGGAAGGCAAGCCACCCAACTACAAGCTCAAAAGGCTAATAGTGCAATATGATTAACTGCATTTTCTAGTTGTTAAAATTAGTCTTTCTGGCTTTATTTTTCAGCTGTAGCAGAAGTGAAACTTCGAGATGATCAGTATACCCTGGACCACATGCGTGCCTTTGGCATGTATAATTACCTACATCTTGATTCTTGGTACCAGGATAATGTCTACTATGTTGATCAACTTGGAAGGGTTATGAATTTATCAGTGACTCTGGTAAGAATGACATTTATTTTAAATCAATGAAAGAGGTGTGGTGGGACAAGAGGAAAAGAAAATGAATAGTATGCAAGCACAAAAGAACTGAAGAAGGGAAAATCCAAGGAGGAGTGTAGAAAGTGGGGGGGGGGGGGAGAGAATCTATAAGGGAAGGTGAGAGGGAGTTCTATGGCCTTTGTTATACCAGAGGTCAGACTAGATAACCACCCGTGGTCCCTTCTGATATTGGTATCTATGACTTGGAGAAAGAGAGAAGGGTGCAAGGTAGGGTGTGGGGTTTGAAACAAAAACCAAGGCAGTGATGGGTTTCAGTACTGTTTTCTCCCAGCTCTTCCTTTTCTGAAAAGTGTCCTACTTTATTTTCATTCTGAAAGGGGAAGAGGAGGGTGCCTAGTGACTGGATAAAGGGAAGAAAAGAGTGGGCACCCTTTTCTAGTTGGCAAAATGGTCCTCCTTAATTCTCCTTGACACGTTCTTTTTTTAATTTGAAAATCTCTTCACTGTATAAGCTTAAGAAGAGAGGTTGTGAGAGGTGGGAGTTAGTGACAAGGGCAAAAACTTAATTTGGGCCAAGTAGATGGGTGAAGGACCTTTGGGTTCACTCAGTGGAATCTGAGTAAATTAGACCAGTGGTTTTCAAACTTTTTTTTCTGGGGACCCAGTTGAAGAAAATTGTTGATGTCCGTGACCCATGGAGCTGGGAATGAGGGGTTCAGGGTGTGGGAGGGAGTCAGGGCTCTGGGCTGGGGATGCAGACTCTGGGGTGGGGCCAGGAATGAGGGGTTTGGGATGCAGGAACGGGTTCCAGGTTTTGTGGGGGGGGGGGGCCGGAGGGCGGGGGAGGGGGTTTGGGGGGGGGGGGGGGGGGAGGGCGGGGGCGGGGAATTGGGGCATGGGGTTGGGGCATGGACTTACCTCCGGCAGCTTCCCAGTTAGCAATGCAGCCAGAGTGCAGAGGCAGCCTTCCCGCCTGCCCTGGCACCCCGGACCGTGCTGCACACCAGAAGCGGCCAGCAGCAGGTCAGGCTCCTATGCAGAGGTGCCCAAGCGTCTTCACGCGACTCTCGCTCGCAGGCACTGCCCCCCCACCCAGTTCCCATTGGCCAGTTCCTGGCCAGTGGGAGTGCAGAGCCAGTGCTCGGGGTGGGGGCAGCACGCGGAGCCCTGTGGCCCCCCCTGCCTAGAAGCTGGACCCACTGCTGGCCACTTCCGGGATGCAGTGCAGTAACAGGTAGGGACTAGCCTGCCTTAGCTGGGTAGCTCCACTGATGGGACTTGTAATGTCCCGGTTGGCGGCACTGACCAGAGCGACCCAGTGTCTGACATGCCGGGACCCAGTACTGGGTCACGACCTGAACTTTGAAAAATGCTGAATTAGGCTAAACCAGAAAAGATAGTGGTTCTGTGGTTTTATATCTGCATTCTCCAGTAGTAGAATCTATGCTATATTTTGAGGCTGTTTTATTTGGATTCAACAATTTCCATTATACAGTAATTCTGTATTCTGCAAGGGAAAATACTACCTGGACACAATGTTTCTTATACATGTCTGGTATTGTACTTAACAATAATTGTAATAAGCAGACATTGGGATTTATGGGGAATAGGAGAACATGTTACTGGTGATACTAAAATGGCATTTACAAAGTTAATATTTTTAGCTTTGGACATGCCCATCCCATGTGAAGTAAGTCTATATCTCTGACAACTGAGGCTTATATTTAATCGGACAACCTTTACAGGTAGTGTGTAAGAACATGGCTGAAAATTTGTGATTTGGTGTTAAATTGATGTTTTGATTGACTCAACACTTTTCACTTGTCAATATGGATTTAAACATTTTCTTTTGGTTAGATAAACACTTTGTTCATAATTGGATCTAGTTGTGAATTTAAACAACAGTGCCTCATGCATATTCTTGATTAACATTTTAGGGTCGGAGGCAAAATAAAATGCTGATAGATCATTCACATGATAAGATTTTCTCTGGTAGTGAAAGATTTAGGGCTGCTAATTCTGTTTTCAAAACAGTGGTAAATTTATATAACATGTCAGTGGAATTGTGGAACATTGTTACAGCTTGAGGATTATAGAGACTATAAGCCTATAAAATACCAATTTGTCGTTTACTATTACTTTCCTGTTCCTTTCTCATATCCATGTTTTGGTGGTGGCCTCCTTATTGAAATATGGGGTTTTTCCTAGGCTATGTTTGGGTTAGAAATGAAGGCTGTTAAAGATTTTAGGAGGTGGGAAGGGATATCTGTAATCACTTAATTATAATTCTTGTAGATGTTTAAGATCAGTGATGATTACATATACTTTCCAATTTACCTTGATGGAAAGCAAGTTGGCTGCAATGATGAGGTTGAAGAGTGGCATTGTTAGAGACAAAAATGGAGGGGAATCCTTAGGTGACTCAAAAAAGGGGATGAGGAAGGAGATGGTCTGTCTTACCAAAAGGTTACCCAGCTACCCTATTTCGCCTATCTTCCTTCAAATGGCCTAGACAACTTGCATATTGCTTTGTCACCTTAACTTTTAGATACACAATCTTCTGCATAGTTGCTTTCAGGACCATGCAGTCTTTTCATACTGTTATCTCTGAACTCTACAGAACTTGGTTTAACCCGGCTGTCATGTATTTAAGCCATAATTACACTTAATGGCAGTAATGAGATATCTGACCCTTTAAGATTGAGAATGCGAGTCTCCATGGCTATGCTAATCCATTTCAGTGATTGGACTGCAAAACAAATCTGTGGGCTGAAGGAAACAACCACTGAGAAATTAAGTGGGTCCACAGTGGCAGTTCATGGTTAAGAGGGTTGCTCATTCCGTTTAGGACTTGGAACTGGAGCATTTTAGTATGTGGATGGATTGAGGCTCCCCTCTTTCTTGAGCTAAAAGTGTTTACCCAAAGCTGCTGGGCATAGTAGGGCTTTCTGGGAAGAGTGACACTTTATAAGCTACTTTCCCCTCATAAGGTGAGGCTGTCGAAAGAGTTGACAGTCTCTCCTAGAGATACAGAAACTTTACTTGTGGGTTTTGGACTTTGCCAAATCTCAGGGGACAGTCAGTATTCCCAGCAGAAATGTCTGGGAGAAAGAAACCTGTCCAACGGAAGCATTTGTGAAGAGTGGGTTTGCAACAGGGCCAATTATTTGTAATTTTACTGTATTATAGGGCTGAGAAAGGAAGGGTTTTATGGATCCCATCACACTGAAATCTAACTTTTTCGTTTGTTAAAAATAGTGAAATACTCTATCGAACTATAATTTTTTTTTTTGAGCATTTAATTAAGAACATAATTGCCCACTTCATAAGAGACAGTAGTTGGCATCTGTCATATGCAGTTAATTGAAATCATATGGATATTCTTTCATAGTACAATTCACTCTACAGAAATCCCTTGGCAACGAATAGGGAAATATCACAACGACTAATTAATATCCTCCCATAAGTGATTTTTTTTTGTTTTTGTTTTTTTGTTCTATTAAAGTCTGTGATTACTTGTCACATCCTCATATTCTAAGCAGAGAAATCACTTGTTTCATGACTGTTTTGTTTGAGGTGGAAAGAGAACTTTTTAAAGGTATGAAAATTAATTTGTATACAGAAACTTCAATAAGATCACTCACTATGAGCATGCTTCACCACTCATATCTATCAAATGTATATCTATACAAGCAGGACCGGCTCCAGGCACTAGCTTACAAAGCAGGTGCTTGGGGTGGCCACTTCGGAGAGGGGAGGCACGTCCAGCTGTTCGGCGGCAATTCGGCGGACAATCTCTCACTCCTGCTCCGAGCGAAGGACCTTCCACCGAATTGCCGCCGCAGATCGTGATCGTGGCTTTTTTGTTGTTGGTTTTTTGTTTGTTTGGCTGCTTGGGGCGGCCAAAACCCTGGAGCCGGCCCTGTATACAAGATATAGTTTCCAGCCAGTGATACTCATTTATATCATGTAGTTAAATAGTATCACCATTGACTTAAGTGGCAATATCTATCAAAATAAAAAGTGAAATGAAGAACAAATATAGATTCATTTTCCAAGGGGCTAGATCTTATGTCCTTCCTTCATTACTTATCAGATTTTTTAAAAAGCAGGTAAATACCTTCTCTTCTGCTAGGGTCTACGAGATATCTACTTCTGTAGCAACTTTCCTCTGAGGATCAAAGTGCTTTACATACATCTGCAAATGTGATGTAAATAACTATTATAACTAGCTTACCGAAGATGCCATCCACAAATGCAGAGATGAGTACAAGGAAGTCTTTGCCACTTTTTCAGATAACAAACATAAAATGAAAAAGATGAGAGATGATCATGCGCAATTGTTCTAAACTGCAGTATGGTGTTCAGAACACTATTTAAATCTAGTTGAGAAAGAAGTAACATTATCTTAGCCAAAAGCAGTGTGGAAATGTAAAAATTCTTCCACTATCACATTCAGCTTCATGGTGGTTAAATGAAAGGAGGACTGATGCCTCAGTTTCTCAGTTACATTTAGTGGAACTCTTGAGAGTATTGTGCTTCTACATTTGCATCCAAGTATCATATGTTGAAATTTGCATTGAGGTTGAGAAGAACTTCATGTAAAATGCATATTTTATTTTGATCAACTTAACTGTGTGGGGCATTGTAGGGTGCTGTGAGCCCTGTGCGGGACTTGCAACTGGAGGCCCTCCAAGCTGCCAGGGACCAATAGCTTGAGCTGTGAGCCATGCTCAGGGCTCATAGCTGGAGACTCCCCCGCTGCCAGGGGCTGACAGCCAACAGGCAAAGTAAGTAATACAGTGTCTACAAAGATACTACATCGACCCAAGAACTACGCCTCTTGCGGAGGTGGAGTTATTAGATTGGCGTAGCGGGTGACTTAAATCGGTGGGAGCAACGTTGTAGTGTATGGAGTTAGGTCGACGTAACCTGTAGTGTAGACCAGGTCTTATTCAGAAGTAAATTGATTTTAGTTCTTTAGGGTACCTCCACCGAGG